GTCACACACACTCCCTCAGTAATATTCCCCTTATCGTGCGTCTCCTCCGTTATTTGTTGATACTCTAGTCCTACTATAGAAATACTTATAAATACTTATATGTACCATGCGTCAGTAGTAATGTTGTGTGGTGGCAGTGTTAATTGGATGTTGCTATAAGTAAAGTATATTATTTAATTACTGATAGTGGAAACTGCTGATTCTGCAGTAGTAGCAGTTGGCTGGCCGGCTGGCTAGTAGTGGGTGTATTGCTGACTAATCCATTTAGTTGTATGTTTTCACAATGATATCAGAAAGATCCATGTGTACATGTACATGTACAGTACATGTCATGTACATTGTATATTGTAAAATTCTTTTATTTATTTTTAATGTGCTTGTAGATGGATACGTTCCTTTGTGGAGCTAATAATCAAAAGTGGGACATTAAAGGTAAAGTAATAGTGTACTGGAGTACATCATGTACACATTACTATTGTTTTTTGTTTATTATTATTATTATTATTATTATTATTATTATTATTATTGTTATTACTATTGTTTCTGTTTATAGAATTAATGGAATATTGCCGTCCTGATCATGGATATACTCATGACAGGTTTGCTTGTAGTTAATTCATTAAAGTATAATTATTTTCTCTTCTCTCAGTCAAGCTATCCAGTTCTTGTTCAGAGTCCTCAGTTCCTACAGTACAACTGAGCAGCGTCAGTTCATACAGTTTGTGACAGGTAGTCCTCGTCTTCCTGTTGGAGGTCAGTACACACATACACACCATTGTATGATGATTTGTCCTTACACTTGTAGCATAAGCTGCATAATGTGTTAGGCAAAAGCTCTGTTGGGTCAGAGTTGTGTGCACACACATACCGTAAAGCGGGTATATTTCGTCTGGAAAAATGATCTTTCTAAGCAGGATTAGAAATCTTGTTTGTTTTATTTTTGTTCTGAGTGGCCATTTTGCACACGTGGCATTAAGGAAACGCCTTTTTTCTTTTGGAAAATATTTGTTCCACAAGGAATGAGAACGAAAAGAATGAAATTAAACTCTAACTGAATATACCTGCTATGGCATGTGCATGTAATTTTGTTTCTGCAGTCAGTGGTTATAGTGACAACCACAAGCTATGAATTAAATTAAATTAGTAGTGCAACCCACAATAGCTTTTTCAAAAATCAGAGTTTAAAAAGTCAGTAGGAAATTATATAAACCATAGGTATTGACTGTCACTGTGCAGGAGTAGTCTGGACACAAGGGCAGCAGTGCTGTCTTCCAACTGATTTAACTTTTGTAGGGGGACTCACCCATACAAAACCGTCTTCTTCTATCTAAAACAGAAAAGATAGAAGGAGATTTCAATAGACTAAGAGAGAAATACATGAACATAATTAGGAAGCAATTTTTGAATGGGACAAGCAATTGTCCCTGATTGTAAAAGAAACTATATGTACATGTATTTAAAGAAACTACATGTACATGTAACTTAATTAATGGTTGTATGGTACAGTCGTGCATTTATTAGACTCAGTATACCTGTATTGCTGCTATTGTTACTGACTGTCCATTATAATAATCTAAGCAGTTTATTATGTGTGGGTTATGGTAATACCAATTTATTGAGTTGATTGTATTGTGGGCTCAAGTGTAACATAGACACAATCCTTTCAATGTTAGCCCAAACTTCCTTTGTGGTGAAACACTTATAAGGATAACTGCTATAATTTTTGCATAGAGTAAATGATCCTTTTAATATACAGTTCATTGTTATGTACATGACACTACATGTACATGTGTACTTAGTAGTTCAATGTGATATGAATTATTA